GACGGCACGGGACACACCGAACCGAACTCGAGCCACCGACCTCGCCTGACTGTCCGACGACGTCCGACGGCCGATAATCGGGTTGGTGTGCGGAGGCCATAAGGCTTTCTTGTTATTGGAGGAAGAAAGCGTCGGTCGGACCTTGAGCAGCTCCTCCTGGCTGTTGAACGCAGGGTGGTTCAGCCGGTATCGACCCTCTCTGTACTTCTGCGTGATGAACTCTCTCCTCTGTTCTGGTGAGGCGTCACAGTCCAGATCTTCAGACGGAGACAGCGAAGCCGCCCAGAAGTCATTGGCCCGGTCGTTCCCCAGCATGATGAACAGCTGACACACACAAACAAACAGGACTACAGATCAGTTCAGACTATATATGAAGATGGACGATGACTACGCTATATGTTTCATTGATCTGAATGGTTGAAGTTGTCCTGTGATAGATGGTAATAAACAGACGGTTCATCCAATCCAACCTGCCCTTTTCCAAACAGATGGTTTTGTATAATAAACCATTTCAGCAAATTTGAGCAATCATTGTAGCTTCCTGTGAGTTTTACTACACATTATTATGATAATCATAGCAAAACATTGAGCCATATGTCACCAAAATACTGGAGACTTTATGCTCACTGGAACAAATTGCCTTCGATTTTTTCATGAATTATACAAAAGGAACTATTGCAGCTACAGTATTTTATATCGTAACATGCATCACAATTTTTTAGAAAAGCTCCAGTGAAATCTGATATTTTTGGCCACAAGAAAGACTGGTGTATCCACTCAGTGGTCGGATCTCTCGTCTCTGAGTAGAGTTACTTATGTAACTGCAGTTCTATGAATTCTGGATGAGAACTGCTGGTTCAGGTGGTTCAGGGGATGGACTGGTTCTGATCTCACCTGGACGATCTCATTGCTCCACACGCTGGTGTCCAGTTTCAGACTCTGAACCTTGGAGACCATCGTCCCCAGACCTCTGTGCTGTCCTGCAAACACACACACACATACAGGTAAACAAAGGGGAAAGGGGTTGCATTGTGATGCATTCCCACAGTGAATCGTATCACATCAGATCACAATCATAAATCAGACAGCTCTAGTTGAAGTAATCAGTGACCTTAAACTCTTGGATACTGGACCTCACAGTAGGTCATGAAATCTTAAATGACAGGTTCAATGATACCATTGGATTAAACTTGTTCACCTCATTGACAGTATATATAATAGACCAAGCTTCCAGTTCTGTGAAGTGAACGTGGAAGTGTGTTAAACCTGCATTCTATGTAACGGCCAGGAGGGGGAGCTCCATTGGCTGCAATATAAAAACAATAGCATGCAGTCTTATGGAGAATAACCCGACTTCTCACTTGATTAATGAGCTCAGTAAACAGTTTCCTGATGATTTTCTGGTCTCAGTCTCATTTAGAGTAAAAAAGACCATAAAGCAGGGTATGCTTTAGGGCGGGGCTACCTTGTGATTGACAGCTCATTCTCAGTGAGTCCGTCCAGCTCAACTGTCGAATGTTGTTTTAGATTGAATTTTTATTAAATAATATAACAGAAAAAAAGGGAGAGCAGGAGGAGAGACGTCATTTAAAGATAATAGATGCGCTGTCGTTGCTTGTCATTTCACCACCTCCGCAACTCACAGAGGGGAGCGCTGACATCGTTCAGACACACTGAGGTTGCAAGCTGATGTGTCTGCAGACACTGGCCAATGCGATTATCTCAAAATGCCAGATAATCAGCCCGATCAATCCACAGACCCATTCCAGACCCACAGTCTACCTGTTCTTTGTTCCCAGAATAAGGTCAGCATCTGGTGGAGGTTCTGTCCTCTGAAATGCTTTTTGTACTTGAAATGGAAACCTTCTGTGAATTTGACTGTGAACGTGAAGAGTTCAGTTTCAGGTGAGACAAAAACATCTAAACTGATGACAGGCTTCACCTGGATGATGTCAGCAGGATGATACAACACACACACACACACACACACACACACACACACACACACTCACCACAATGCAGTTGAACCAGCACAGTGACAGTTTCACCTGCAGTAGTTCATGTCTCCACAGGTATTTGCAGTTACATAAACAGTGAATGTTGTCTGAACAGCGTTAACTGAGAACCCGAGCACGAACAGCACATACACTTTAAAGATCCACTGTGTGTTCTGCTGCTGGTCTGGGCCTCATTGAAGAGAAATCTTCATGATCTGTCTCCAGCAGTTTGTGTTTGTCTTTTCCTGTTTCAACATGATGATGAACAAAGTCAGCTCCAACACCAAATGGTTTCCCAGCTGGTAGTGGTCGTAAGGACGTAATGGGAGACGTATCATTGGCCTTTATTTCCCTCAACTGACCCTTCCGAATTCCCACCCCTTTTTGCTCTGTCCTCCAATTGAGACAGTTGAGGTCAAACCTTGGTCAACTTCCTCCTCTCCTGTACTTATTGATTGTAGAGGAAAAGCTAATTCCTGTAACTCAATGTTGTACATTTGTTCAACGTAATTTCATACGTAAGTTGCCATAACTCAAAAAGATTTATGCAAACTGTTGCGATAATTGTTTTTGTTGAGGCAAATTCAATTCAATTCAATTCAATTTTATTTGTATAACGCCAATTTATAACAGAAGTTATCTCAGGACACTTTTCAAATAGAGCAGGTCTAGACGGAACTTCTTTTAACATTTACAGAGACCCAACAGTACCACCATGAGCAAGCACTTGGCGACCTTGGGCAAGGAAAAACTGCCTGTTAAAAGGCAGAAA